TCTGCCTGTGACTGTGTGTGACTGTCTGCCTGTAACTGAGTGTGTGACTGTCTGTCTGTAACTGAGTGTGTGACTGTGTCTGTAACTGAGTGTGTGACTGTCTGCCTGTAAATGTGTGTGTGTGGGGCTGCAGGGATTTTGTAGAAGGAGGTGGGGGTTTTGTATTGGGACAGGAGTCTTTATAAGGGGGGATAAGCAGGGGATTTGTGGAAGGGGGTTGCGGGGGTTTTGTAAATGGGGCAGTACAGGATTTGTAGAAGGGGCAGGACAGAGGTTTTGTAGGAGGGGCAGGGCAGGACAAAGGTTTTGTAGGAGGGGCTGACAGCGGTTTTGCAAAGTTTACAAGGTACAAAAAATAAAAGAAAAACCTTTAACATTTTACAGGTTTTTTTTTTGGGGGGGGGGGGGGGGTGCCAAGCACAGGATCCGCCCCGGGTGCCAAATGCTCTAGGTACGCCCCTGTGTGGGGTAACAGCCTCTTTAGCCAATGAGAGAACTAACTGCCATTTTGGGGTTGAGAAGGATTTTTCCCTACTTTGTTGCAAAATTGAAACATGCTTATTTTGGATCAAGAGCAGAAAAGGCTGTGAGAAAGTCTGAACTTATAGGATACACATCTTTTTCAACCTATGTATCTTTGTTTGCTATTCAAAATTCAAAATAAGACCTTAATGGATCAAGGTGTCCATCTTTTTCAAGCATCTATATTTGTTGATCTACAAATAGCTAGAAAACAAACAAACAACAAAACAAATGAGTTCATCACTTTTGGGCCATAAAGCAGATAAACTATATGTCTTTGAAATACTTGAAAGTCCTTATTTCTGTTAGAATAAATACATATAAACACACAATCTGAAAAAAAAGACTGCAAGAGGCTAAACATTCAAACATTTGTGACCACAGTGCAGGCCATAAAGTAAGAAAAGAAAAATAATAGCCCAAGGATAATTCTCAACAATATATCTAGTCTATTTACTTTCTTTGCTGACAAATATGGGTTTCTCTGGTGCATAAAGTAAGTTAATTCAGTGTATATTTAACTATAAATATTTCTTTACAAATCAGGTTTTACCTTTCCTCGGATATAAAATTACTCATAAAATAATCCTTCATTTATTATCAAGATTAATTAAACAGTAATAATAGTAATATAAAATACAATGCTCAAAAAAATAAAGGGAACACAAAAATAACACATCCTAGATCTGAATGAATTAAATATTCTTCTGAAATACTTTGTTCTTTACATAGTTGAATGTGCTGACAACAAAATCACACAAAAATAAAAAAATGGAAATCAAAATTTTCAACCCATGGAGGTCTGGATTTAGAGTCACACTCAAAATTAAAGTTGAAAAACACACTACAGGCTGATCCAACATTGATGTAATGTTGGTTAAAACAAGTCAAAATGAGGCTCAGTAGTGTGTGTGGCCTCCACGTGCCTGTATGACCTCTCTACAACGCCTGTGCATGCTCCTGATGAGGTGGCAGATGGTCCCCTGAGGGATCTCCTCCCAGACCTGGACTAAAGCATATGCCAACTCCTGGACAGTCTGTGGTGAAACGTGACGTTGGTGGATGGAGCGAGACATGATGTCCCAGATGTGCTCAATTGGATTCAGGTCTGGGTAACGGGTGGGCCAGTCCATAGCATCAATGCCTTCATCATGCAGGAACTGCTGACACACTCCAGCCACATGAGGTCTAGCATTGTCTTGCATTAGGAGGAACCCAGGGCCAACCACACCAGCATATGGTCTCACAAGGGGTCTGAGGATCTCATCTTGGTACCTAATGGCAGTCAGGCTACCTCTGGCGAGCATGTGGAGGGCTGTGCGGCCCCCCAAAGAAATGTCACCCCACACCATTACTGACCCACTGCCAAACCGGTCATGCTGGAGGATGTTGCAGGCAGCAGAACGTTCTCCACGGTGTCTACAGACTCTATCACGTCTGTCACATGTGCTCAGTGTGAACCTGCTTTCATCTGTGAAGAGCACAGGGCGCCAGTGGCGAATTTGCCAATCTTGGTGTTCTCTGGCAAATGCCAAACGTCCTGCACGGTGTTGGGCTGTAAGCACAACCCCCACCTGTGGACGTCGGGCCCTCATTCCACCCTCATGGAGTCTGTTTCTGACTGTTTGAGCAGACACATGCACATTTGTGGCCTGCTGGAGGTCATTTTGCAGGGCTCTGGCAGTGATCCTCCTGTTCCTCCTTGCACAAAGGTGGAGGTAGCGGTCATGCTGCTGGGTTGCTGCCCTCCTACAGCCTCCTCCATGTCTCCTGATGTACTGGCCTGTCTCCTGGTAGCGCCTCCATGTTCTGGACACTACACTGACAGACACAGCAAACCTTCTTGCCACAGTTCGCATTGATGTGCCATCCTGGATGAGCTGCACTACCTGAGCCACTTGTGTGGGTTGTAGACTCCATCTCATGCTACCACTAGAGTGAAAGCACTGCTAGCATTCAAAAGTGACCAAAACGTCAGCCAGGAAGCATAGGAACTGAGAAGTGGTCTGTGGTCACCACCTGCAGAACCACTCCTTTATTGGGGGTGTCTTGCTAACTGCCTATAATTTCCACCTGTTGTCTATCCCATTTGCACAACAGCATGTGAAACTGATTGCCACTCAGTGTTGCTTCCTAAGTGTACAGTTTGATTTCACAGAAGTGTGATTGACTTGGAGTTACATTGTGTTGTTTAAGTGTACCCTTTATTTTTTTGAGCAGTGTACATTTAGCCCACAGAGCTGCACTTATATTCATTCGGCAAAGAAACACATTTCTCTTTCAAGGCCCAATTCTGTCCCTCTACATCTCAGCAGAGAGGCAAGTATAAAGATACAAATGTGAATTTGTTTATTATCCCCGAATCACTGCATAAAATTGCTGTTTTGTCCTACACGTAAATGCTAACATCTCATGTTTCAAATAAATGTTATGGTATTTTTGTTTACGTACATAATAAGTTAGTAGTTGACATATGCCTAATACAGGACATGTTGTACTGATATTGTTTTAATATGATGTTTAATTATGTAAACTAAAACATTTTAGACAGGAATTATTTACAGATGTTTAGTGTAGTGTTTTTACGTATCTAGGCTATATGTCATCATACAGATATTTATTACATTTTGGTGGCATTTTGAGTTGGCTGCATTCCTGGGAATACAACGAGGTTAGTTACAAATACTAATAAGCAGCAAATTTGACCAAATTTACCTATTTTTACTGTGCCTACTGTATGTGACAAAAATAGTATTTTAAATATTGCAAGGTTCCAAACAAATCTGTAAGACATTGACAAATGAAAAGAAATGCCATTACAGTTATATAATTATCCTTTTTTTCATCCTTTGATCTATGCATTTAATTATTGCCGTAGCCTACATATATAAGATAGCTACGTCTGCATTTTCAAATAAACTTTGAGCTTTTAAAAAAAAAAAAAATTAACACATGCTAACATGGAATTTTTTTTATTAAGATATTTGGAAAGTCAGCACAAGTTATACAAAAGAAATCCACTTTTTCACATTATAATCAGGTAACTTATTTTACAAAAAGATAAACAATTCATTTTCATCGTCAATGAACCAGTAGTGCTGAATTTTCCATAATTAACTTGCAAATATGCAGCTGTTCTTTGAAAGTTATTAGAACAAATAGAATCAATTATGAACACTCAATATATTTTCTGAAAAATCTTTCATTATGCATTTAAGTTAAGTCCCACGTCTGTCTCACTGAGTAAATAGTTAATCACTTCTTTTTTTTTCCTTGTCGACTGTAAGAAGGCCCACAATGCCAGTTGCATTTTAACGATACGGTACATTTTCATTGGTACTGTGGCCAATTCTCTTTTAAATCATTGCAGTTTCTACTTTAGCCTCTAGCTATAGAATTCTTTTCAAGCAAGCAGTGAACCTGGCAGCATGCCGAAGAGCTAAATAAAGGTGTTTTGGTCTTGCAAACTATTTAGAGTGGTACTTTAGTGATATGGCTTTCTTTAGTGCATCTGCAAAACATTTCTCTGAAGTGAATTTTCATGTGAAAGGGTTCCCTTAATCATCAACAGTATTGTTAGCTTCAATGCGGTTATTTAATTATACCCCTGGGTGCTAACAAAATAAACAAGGGGACTTCTCACAACTTTTTTTTTTAAAGCAGCAGGTGCTTTCTTTGTCAGCTATTCAGAATTTGCTATTCCCTCTTTTTGTTAATCTTTAGTCAAACAAGAGCCAGGTGAAGCTTAGCATCAAGTACAAAAAAATAAGAAAAAAAAAATGCAAATCTTTCAAATAAAATATAACTTACATACTAAATCTATACCATTTATGTGCCCATGTATGCATATGTACATGGTACAGTTACATTTTTACAAATAAATAAATGGGACTATAGACTATAGAACATAGGTTAAATATGGTTTATTGGGGAGTTTACCGAACTAAGTGTATTGCTTGTTTGTCACTTGTTTGTCATGCTTACAAATTGATACAAGCAATTGGAATACGCCAAAACTGCATTTCACTTGTAAGACAATCATAGAAATAACATTTTTTTTTTATTTGCTTTTTATTGATAACTTATTTGGAAGAATATAATTGTTCAGACTAGATCTAACAACATATATTAAATATCAAAACAATGCACTAAATTCATTAAAGGGAAACTATAGTTCCAGGAGAACAAACTCGTTTTCCTGGCACTATAGCTTCCCTCTCTGTCAAGGCCCCCTTTTGTGGTCACTTACCTGGGTCCAGTGCGATGTCAGTCGGTGCTGACTCAGTTCCACTCCGTTGACGTCTGCTGGTGGGGAGACCTAATGCACATGCGCAGCAATGGCCGTGCTCGCATTAGGACCATCCCATAGGAAAGCATTACAATGTTTCCCTATGGGGATTCCTGCATAGCTTGAGGACGTCCAGCATCATTTAGACGACCAAAAGTCATCTAAGACAGTGATCACCAACCCAGGCCTCATGGACAACCAACAGTCCAGGTTTTGTCAGTATCTCCATTTGAATGAAAAAGGGAAATACTTAAATCCTGGACTGTTGGTGGTCCATGAGGACTGGGTTGGGGACCACTGGTCTAAGAAGCCGGAAGTCCCTTTAGTGGCTGTTTGGTAGACAGCCACTAGAGGAGGAGTTAACCATAGACTGCTCAAACACGTTTACTTAACATGGCAGGCGTGTGAATGGCTAGCAGTCCCATTACTTCTGTTAAGACATTTATGTTTTTTCAGTTTTCTACGTTTTTTTCATTGTAAGACTTTAGATGTCTTTAATAATGCAAACGTGAACTCTGAATTCAGGTGGGTTGGCCTTTTAGCCAACGACCCACCCCCCTCCTGCCTTAATTTGTGCCTAGATGAGGGCCCTATTGCTTGAAATGTGCTAAAATGTTACTTCTTTCAGTTAGCAGTCTTCTAGGTATAGGATGACTAAAAGCCATAAGCGAAGTTCCACGTCCCTTAATCCCAATCCTTTTATATCTCGCCCATGCTAGTTGGCATGACCACGCAAGGGTAGCAATAAAGGCCCTTGTCAAGTTAAACCCACTTCCTGGAGCACCTAGCAATCTAAACCAAGCTGACAGTACCATATTAAAAATGAAAAAACAAACAAAAAACCTCAGCTCACTAACAACATTGATACTGTTTATTATGCATTATTAAGTATACAAATTGATGTAGTGCTTGTGCGACAGTATTTATTCTATGAATGTTTCCTAATTTTTTTGTGAGATTGAGGATCAATAAATAAAGAATTAAAAAAAAAAGAACCATCATCTGAGTCTAAGGAGTCATATTCAGTGGAGTTTGATGTTTTGCTTGAGGGGCCTCAAATGAATCTAGCATATCTCTAATAGAGGCTTTCCATGCCCTATTATCTTCCTCTTGGGCAGAGGATTTGAATTGTGGTTGTTGGACACACTTGTCAGTACTGCATTTTGAATGCAATTCATCCATTAGATTTTGATCCTTCCATTTGATGCATGTTTTGTTTTAAAATGCTTTAGGGATTAGAAAGTATTATCTATCAGGGGTAGGCAACCTTTGGCACTCTAGATGTTGTGGACTACAGTCATAATGTTTTGCCAACCTTAATTGCGGTGTGAGCATTATGGGATATGTAGTTTACAACATTTGGAGAGCCGAAGGTTGGGCTATACAAGAGTGTCCTTTTTTGATGGCCTATCCAGATTTCCTCAAGCCTTTAGCTAAATGCCTGGTTGAATCTTCCACTGACCAGAAAAGATTGGATGGAGTAGAAACACCTTTGGTTTGTATTTTGTCTTGGGTAGAATTACTTAATTCTAAAAACACTGACTTTGCAATTGATTCTTGCATGGATGATACAGCTCTCATTATGGCATTAGACTTTATTGTATTAACAAATGTATCTAGAATATTCTAAACATTTTTAAAATTTTGTATATTGTTCATGACACTTGGAGTGTTCCTTTAATTTCATTTACACCCAATATATGTATTAGTATTACATGCAGGTAATACCTTCACATGTAGACAGACCCCGACTGGCCATCGGCACACCGGGCAAATGCTGGCAGAGGCCAGCAGAGGAGATCACAGAATCTCCCCTGCCAGTCCATGCAGGGCACGCATTGCCAGCCCTGCTGCATTCCATGACGGCCAATGGGGAGATCAAAGATCTCCGTCACTGGCCCAATGTCACTAACAACCAGTAGCTGGCTAGGGAGGGAGGAAGAGAGGACCCGCTCTGCCATTTTCCTCTTGCAAGATCCGGAGTGTTGCCCTCTATCTCTTGCGAGATCCGGAGTGTTGCCCTCTATCTCGCGAGAGTAAACTCTAGCCTTGCAACACCAGGGATAGCAGAACAGTCCCCCCTGCCCCAGGCAAAAGGTAAGAAGGGAGGGGAGATAAAATGCCTGTTTTTTTTTTCCTAACACACAATCTCTCCTAAAATACACACACACACCACCCTCACACACAGAACCCTCACACACATCATTCACACACAGCACTCTCACGCACAACACCGTCACACACAGCACTCTCACACACATCACCCTTACGCAAAGCACCCTCACACACACACACAACACCCTCACACACACACACACATTGCCATGGCAATGTCCCTGATCTTGCGAGGCTAGAGTTCACTCACCACTAGCAACACCAGGGATAGCAGCATGGTCCCCCCTGCCCCAGGCTAAAGATAAGAAGGGAGGGGGGATATAATTCTTTTGTTTTGTTTTTTTCCCCAACACACAATCCCTCCTAACATACACACACACATCACCCTCACACACATCACCCTCACACACAACACTCTCACACACATCACCCTCACACACCTCTCTCATACACAGCACTCACCCTCTACACAGCACTCTCAAACAGCACTCTCACACACACACATCACCCTCACACACACATTACCCTCACACACCATTACCGTCACACATGCATTACCATCACACACACATTACCCTCACACACACACACACACACACAGCTCCCTCACACACACACTCACAGCTCACACACACACACACACATTACACACACACATACACACAGCTCCCTCTCACACACACTGCACCCATAACACACACTGCACCCCTCACACACACACATATTGCACCCCTAACACACATACTGTAACCCTAAACACATTACATCGCAGACACACACTAGATCATTCAACTCTGGATCATCTACACACACATGATCCCTATATACACTCTGAATCCACTATATACACACAGTCACTAGATCTCCTATACACATTATGGGTCCTTCAAACACACACTAGACCCCTAAATACACGCACTGCATTCCTGACATACACACTCTGGATTCCCTATACACGCAAACTAGATTTCTTGTAAGCAAACACATATTACATCCCCTAAACACACACTTTCTACAACCCCTACAAACACTACGTCACCTATGCACACATAGACACACTATAGCCCATATGCACATGCGTGCTACATCCCCTATACACACGCTCTCTACAGCCCCTAGCCACACATGCATTACATTACACCACAAACAGCTCACTTTACACACACGCAATCCCACAAGCAGGCTCCAAACACATGCACAATACTCTTTCCTGGCCCTTTTGTTTCCTGGTATTCCATTTATCGAGATACCAGAGACAAGGTGCAAGGAAACACGGCGCAAGCATGTAATTAAATTGGCTTGCACTGTGCAGAACAAATACAGGGCCTTTTTTCATGCTAGAGCTCTTCAGTAGAGCTCTGGGCATGGTCTGCCCTGGAAGAGCATTGAACTAACATGCTGATGACCAAATACACCCTCTCTCTTCGCCCCCTTCTTAGTGCGCCGCTGTAATTAATAAATGCCTGAGCTGAATTTTTTTCCCAGTCTTGCCCTGCATGTAGAATGCTCAGATTGTCTACTTCTTTTAAATTTGTGGGTATCTTCTGTGCATACTCTTTTTCAAGTTATTATTTGTGTCTAAAAAAAAATTTTAAATGACAATTTGAATTAATTTGTTTGTGGTGTTTTTGTGTCTTTTTGTTGGGTGAGGGAGGAAAGTCAATCTCATTTAGTTAACCTACGTTTGTTTCATTTTCCTTTCTTCAGTTTAGTTGTCTTTGAGGTTTTCAACCCAGCCATTCTTTGGCTAGCTTTTTGTTTACTTTAAATGTTTTAAAGAGTAAGAATTAAAATGCTGATTTCTACTTGAAATAGAATTATATGAGCTTGTATTTATCTCAAAGCCAAACAGCAAATTTCAGTTACTGCTAAAGCCAAACAAATCCCAGCATCTGTAAATAAGAATATGAATAAAAGTCTTTAAATAGGATTCCAATTTTCATGTTATTTTTAATTCCAGCACATTGATTGAAACTGCCATGTCAAATTCGATGTCTTTTCAAGACATTTAATAACAACGATAGTTTTGTTTTGACATTGATCAGTACTCGGCAGTAAAAATGTGTATTAGAAATGGTCTCAAATATTTTTTATTTTTGTTAAAGATGAATATAATTGGCTAGAATCGGTTTTGAACCAAATATACCCCAACATAACACAAGTTCACAAGCAAAATCACAGTTAAAAAACAGAGAAAGACTTGGTCTATAAAATAAAAATATGTGTTAATAATATGCCATCTATGATTTGTTTAAGAATATAATTTTAACAGCAATTTTACACCTTTTATTCAAACATTTTATCACCATCCTCTGCCACATCTGATGGCTATATTTATTTTGTATATATTTGAAGTCTCAGTTTTGTGCAAAAAAAGTCCCATTTGTTCCACTACTTGAAAAAGCTCAAAATTTATATCACCCACCAGATTTTGAAAAATTAAAAGTTCACATTACAGACATGCCAATTCAAATTACAGTATTCAAAATTCAAATTCTCGCAGATTAATTTACAAGCCTATACCACTTTAAGACATCCCTATTGTGCTTTCATGGTATTATTCTTCAGGCGCCCCTGCTGGCTGCCACACTTTTCTCAAGCTCCTGACCTCTCTAGGAATTATCTTAATTTTAACCTCCGTACACTGATAATTTATCACAAATATTTCAAGGACCAATATCGACTCCACATATCACACAACTGGATTTACCAAAATTGAACGGATGGCATTACTAACCTGAAATACACAATGGATTGAAATATACTAACAGGGTCAGATTAACATAGGGGCTGATGGAGCTGCAGCTCCAGGCCCAGGCCCAGGCCCATGGAATAGGCCCATTTAAAAAAACAAAACAAAAAAAACATTTTTTTTTACTTTTTTTTATTTTATTTTTTACACACTACTCTTAGGTTTGCCACCTGACTGGTATTTTACTGGCACAGCCGGTATTTAAGGGCTGCCTGGCCGTGCCGGTATTGCAGTAATACCGGCAATACAAATACAGGTATTTTTCTCAGTATAAACGGAGATTACTCTGCAATACCAGCACCGGCCGGCCAGTAGGGTCACTGTGTGTGTGGAGAGAGGCAGGGATAGGAAGTTACAGCATATCCCTGCCTCTCTACTACTCACTGATCCGCGGGGGAGCAGCTACACACAGGGGCG